CAGCTTCACTACATTCTCCACCACGGCCGCCATCTTCCCTCCTCCTCTCCCTCAGCCCGGGAGCCCCCGGGGCCGCAGTGCGCAGGCGTCCAGGCCGGAGCGCGCGCCCGCGCGCTCCCCTCCTCGCCCCCGCCCCCTCTGCGACCCCAGCGCGCAGGCGTACGGCCGGGAAAGCGAGGCTGCTCCCGCGCTAGCACACTAGCACTGGGGCCGGGCCCGCAACGCGGACACAGCGCGCAGGCGCCGAGTCCAAAGATCTCGCCAGCCCCCCCCCCCCCCCCCCCCCGCCCCCAACAGAAGCCCCCCCCGTCTCCCACGCCCTTACGTCGAAGCCAGCGCGTAGTTCCCCGCCCCAACGCGCAGGCGCCAGAAAGGTCGGCCATCTTCCGCTCTTCCCCTACCCCTACCCCCCCCCAGCTCAACCACGCAAGCGCCGCAAGGTAGACCAGGGACCCATTTTCCTATTAGCAAGAGCTGAGACCGTGCCGGCTAAGAGGAAACAGAACCAAGCCAATGTGCACGCGCTGCGTTCGAGCCTGTTCAAGTCTCTCGACGCAGGCGCGCTGCATCCCCAGCAAAGCGTCCTCGGGACGGCGAGTGAGTCCGTTTGCTGGGGAGCGGGGTGGTCGTTTTTCCCTTCTCCTCCAGGGTCCTCTGGGGGCTCCCCAGTTGTGAAAGGGACGACCAAGGCGGGAGCGAGTAGGGAAACATAATTGCAATTAAAAACAATAACCTGAACTTTTCCCTCTGCAGTGGGCGGGAGTCCCCAGGCAAGCCAGCATTTATTAAACGTCTACTGTTTACCAGACGCTGCTAAAAGCTGGGCATATACAGAAGGGCAAAACTCCGTCTGCTCCCTGAGACCTGTGCCCCCCGCCCCCCCCCCGCCCACCTCCTCCTCCCGGGAATTTGCGGGCACAGCCATCGCTTTGATCTCTTGTTAGGATGCGCCAGTTTAAAGTTACATTGTTCTAATTTTATACAGTCTTCGGGCCTGGTTACTTTGTATCTCCTTTGTATGTGTTTGTATACGTGCGTGTTTCCTCCCGTTTTCACAGCAATTTCATTTCCGAATATAACCAGGGGATTGCTGGGAACGTTTAACAACCGGACTTTCCAGGGGGAAAAAGTTTGCACAAACATTTTTAATTGAAATCTGATTATTTACACTTTTAAAATCTAGTCAATTAAAAAAAAATAAAATCAAGCTCTGGTTTATAGGGATTGCCGATTTCTGAGGTGCAGTCGCTCACCCTCCTCACTTTTCCCCTCCTACCCAGCCAGCCATCTCTCGTTAACAAGAGAATTAAAAGGAAAGAGAAGAAAGAGGTTCAGCAGTGTCTGACAGCAGCGGCAATATTCACCACTCGTAGTCCCCAGCTCTGCAAAATCATTTAAGCCCAATTCACCTGCATGTCCTGGCATCACCTCCCTGATGTCATGGTCCTCTCCCAGAAGGAAGGACAAACAGCATTGTTGTTAACCATTCAGACTCTCTTATTTATTTGTTTGTTTGTTTATCTGTTTATTTATTTATTTAGCTTCGAAGCAGTCGGGGTTGAGTGACTTGTCCAGGGTCACATAGCTAGGAAGTGTCAAATGTCTGAGGCTAGATTTGAACTCAGGTCCTCTTGACTCCAGAGCTGGTGCTCATCCACTACCCCACCTAGCTGCCCAAACCCTCTGATTTATAATTTTTAATTTTGGGGAAAAAACCCCCTAAAGTTAAAAAAAGATTTATTGATGCTCAGTGGAATTGAATTTGCAGTCACAGAACCAGAGATAAAATCCTAGAAATAATTTACTACTGGCCATTAAAAGCACCACTTAAGGGTGATTTCTTTGGGCCTCAGTTTCCTCAGCTGTAAAATGAGGATTTGGGACCAGATGACCGCTAAGCTCCCTTTCAGGCCTAGAATCTAGAATCTTACGAACTTTTGCCGACACTGACCCACTTTCAAGTACAGGGTGATTGGATTCGATGCCCTCTGACCATCTTCTTGCAATGCTGCTGAGGGCTACCTTGTACCTCCCCACCCTCTGCCTCTGACCGTGCTTCCCTGCCTTGGGCTCTGGCTAGGTAGATTCGTGGCAGGGAGGCAGCCCTAGACACACCGGGATAGGCTCTGGCCAAGTTTCTGCCGCTGGTATCCCCCCTTCCCCAGTTGATGACTTTTACCTCTGACGGGGCACTTGGGTGCCTGTGCTTCGATCCCAGTTTCTCCCTGGTCTCAGAAACACTGTCCCTGGCAGTTTCCCTCCAGCTCAAGGACCCTATCTCTGGCAGTAACTCATACGTGGGCCCATTGAGGTGAACCGTCTCTCCCTGTTACAAGAGCAAGCTGACCGCCGTAGAATTTTGCTTCTATAACCAGGGCTATCTTGTACGAGTGGAACTGATCAAGTGCTGATGCCCACAGTTATGTATACAATCCGAAGGTCAAGCGATAAGACGTCAACTCCCGAAGGTATCTTGTTACAGACGTAACAGACCAAAAATACAGCCTTTGGGAACCCTCTCTTCCCCCATCCCTGAGGTTTCCGGTAGTGAGTGACGTAGTTGTATGGTATCACCTAATTAGCATAGTTGGCTCATGATTCACTACTTTTCCTCTATAACATTTAGCATCATTCCTGTTAGGTTGCAAGTTCCCTAAGGACCTCTGCCCGCTGTATAGCATAACAATAAATCTTTGCCACCTTGACTTAAAGAATGCTTGAGTCTGTGAATTCCTTCCAGACGATCCTGTCCTATACGCTGCTCTTT